CTGTACAGAGACTTGAATAAAAAAAGCTACTTTTCTGTTTCTCAAGCTCTGATTTTTGATGATTGCTATAACTTTTTACACTTAAAGGTATATTACCTCTGAAAATGAACATTAAAGTCTCAAACTTGGCCCACAAGAGTATATATTCTTCAGTGGACTTACCTGATGTCATAACTGTACACAATGGAATCGATGTATATAAACATAAATCCTTTGAACTAAATAATAATCATCTGTATTTTTATGAATAATTACTTAGTTTTATGAATTTATCAAATTATTCAGGAATTCTGTTGTATTCGAATGACAGGGAGCAATTCCATTAAAAGATTATTTTTTGATCATCTTAATAGATCATAATATTCCTTTAAAGGATAGGCCTAAAATTCGAGAAATTTCAAAATGTGAAAAATAAACAATTTCTTCTGTTGAAATGCTTTAAAAAAGAAAAAAAAGAAAATATTAAAGAAAGAATTTTTCAAAAATATATTATGACTAAAATTGTGTGAAATTTAATTTCATTAAGGAATTTTTCTTGCTAAATATGTTTTCATGGTATAAGTGTTGTTATTTGAGCTGGGTATCGATTACCAAATTTAGATCGATTATAGACTGCGAGCTATCGATCAATAATCAATTAATAATTGAAATATTTTAATTGGGGAAACCCTGTAATTAGTTAAGTATAAACATGTAATATTCTGGCTTAGATAGATTATTTAGTCTTATTGTGTATGTGCTGAAGGAACTTATCTGGAAGAGATTACTACTGGTAAATGGGGACAGTGGCAAAAATTTAACTTTGACCTATAATCAATTATAAAATTTGATAATCAATAATCAAAATTATACATTCGTAGCAAGGATAATCAATTACTTCACATTAACAAACAATAACAAACACATTATTAAAAGTTCACATTTTTGTGTTTGTATGAAGACACTGCAAATAAAACAATCTTGACTGAACTGAAGAAGGCTTTGGTGAGGCTTAATTCTCACGTGCTGTACCCCAGTCCCCGTGGACTCCACTCTAATGACAAGTTTGGGTAAATGATTGACAAACAACTAGAATATATAGAGTATATCATTCAGCAATGCTTGACAGTTTCTGTTTAGCTGAATCTGAGGCAGAGCGCAAGTGACAATTTCATGGTTTGAGAGTATATATATATATATTATTGCAGACAATGCTTCTCAAACTAGGAGTTTCCTTCTGAAAAAGTAAATTATCCATGATTAACACCAATTTGAATGCAGGAGTTAATAATGCATCTTATTTAACTTCCTACCGCTACATGGTTTTTGTTTACAAAAAGAATTGATTACCAAACAAGTAAACATTCAAGTTGTTATGTAAATAGTAACCTGTGATATTAGGAACAACAAGTTACAGTATACTATAATAATTCTGACACTATATTGATTATTACAAGTTATTATGTGTTTTCTTTAATAGATCATTACATTACCTGATAGTCTAAACAGATACCAAACCAGTTCCTTTCAAAATATTATCTCAAGTGTTAATTTAAGACTTTATTGAAGCACTTATCTCAATGTAGGAAAGAAAGTAATGATTCTGTCATGTTTATGACTTTGATTTTATGTTTGTGATTGAATGGCTTCAAAGTGAGAATGCACTGCACAAACATAATTGGCAAAAAGTCTTCTCAAAATGTGCTATGAAATAGAAGGCTCACGAATCACGAATTATTTCACAGAGTTTTTTGACTGGTCCATTTTTAAATGGTGCAAAAAATGTGGATACCCTAGAGCACAACAACATCAAAAAGCATAATCTGCAATAGAAAAACTCCGAAATATATTAATAAAATTTGGATGCTTATTTTCATCTACCTGTTTGCCTGTAATAGAGACTACAGTTTTGATTGGTTTTTGATTGTTATTTATGTTGATGAGATCTTAAATAAAAATAGATTTTTATACGTCAGTCCGTCGGTCCGTCCACAATTGCTCGTAAACACTCTACAAGACACAATTCTTGACAGATTTTGACAATACTTGGTATGAGTGTTTGTTATCAACCAAGGATGAATCCTATTGAAAATCAGAAAAATCGAAAAATAATTAGTATGAGTTATTGCCCTTGCTATTGGAAACACGTTCAATTTTTAGCTCGTAATCACTCTTTTGCTGGATTTTGACAAAACTTGGTTTTATTATTCAGTCCCGCACTGAAGATTGAATATTTGCCTTCTAGAGTTTTCAAGAGCTAAAAATTGAATACTTTTTCAAGAACAAGGGAAATAACTCATACTCAATATTATTCAGTATCGCCCTAAAGAGTTCAAAAGAAGTGTATGACTGAAGGTTGAATATTTCATACTGGTGATTGTTACTGTACTGCTAAATATCTTTATTCAAAATCAAAGCTGCCAGTGGGCGTATATTACCTTGCCTGGCAAGCTATCTTAATAATTTTTGATAAATTTTTTTTTTAGTTATATCCCTTTTCGTGGTCATGATACGTTAAAACTGACCTGTGAATGCAAAAGTTTAGAACAGATTTTGATGACACTATTGTATGCTTCTGTATTTTTACAAGATCTTAATAAAGTTATAATTTCACAATTTATTTTAGTTAAATCCTTAACCACATAAAATTACTTTGGCTTGTGAACGCAATACAGAGAGATTTCAATTTTTGATGCATATTTTTATTATTGTTTTTGTACCAAGTTTTCAAATTTGATTGGATTAGAGGTGTTTTTTGAAAAAACCTGCCATGAAATTTCCTGCTTTGCTTTTCGAGTAACTGGTTATGATAATTTTTGTTAATGAATTACATATTCAGAGAGTAATACTTGGTTATAATTTTTTAAAATAATTGGATTTTGTAAATCTTTTATCAAAGCATTCAGTTTTAACTGTGCTTTTAGACTATCAAAATACACCCAGAAAATCAGTTCTTATTTCAAGTTTAAGACTCAAAATTCTCTGAATTCAATTTACTCATTATTGATTATCTACTTTACATTCTGTTTTCACTTATCAAATAGAAGTTAAATTCAATAACATCCTTATATTAATATTTTATTAATTTCTGTTACAGAATGTTAAACAAGGAATTTATGTAGAATTGGTGATTGAGAAAATTCAAAATGGGGGATGAATATTACAATACAAGTGGAAGTGGAGACGGTTACCATTTTACTTACAGAAAAACACTTCATGATCCAATTCATGCTAAAACTTGTTATTTCTACAAAGACAACGACTATTTAACTGCTGCTGCCAAAGTTGCTATTCATCCAAAGAGATATAAGAAATTTGACAATTTACTTTCTGAATTAACCCGCTTGATTCCATCCTTGCCTTTTGGAGTACGAAGCGTTTACACTCCTAGAGGTAGATCTCATGTACGTAATACAGATAGCTTAATGCATGAAGGGCGTTATATTTGCTCAACTCATTCACATTTTGCTCGTGGTGTAGATGTGGCACGTGTCCATCCACCAGATATCTGGCATCAAGCAAAGCCTCCGAGTGGTCAACGGAAGCTTAATGAGTTACTTCAGGAGAGAGAGTATGATGAATTTTCACGTGCCAAAAGAAGAAGAATGGCTAAGAGTGGTGGGATTAATTACAGTGGTAAAAGACCAAAGAAAATAACTGTCATGTGTAATGGTGATCCATCTTTCCGCCACTTGATGTTACTCAACCGTAAAACAGCACAAACTTTTGATCAAGTTTTGGAAGATATGAGTGATATGTTTAAATTTGCTGTGAGAAAACTTTACACTATTGATGGCAGCAGGGTGAGTTACTTGATTTGAATTCAAAAACTTAGTTTTCTATAAATAATATACAAGAAGACACCCGAATACTTCAAGAAATTCAATTAACCAATGGCTACATGATGAGTAGGAACTTCTTTCATTTCATTAAGTAATTGGACCTGTGCTTAAATACATGTATATATTTATGACCAGATCTAACATCATGATATTAAATTTGTAAATCTCAAGCAATCCGGTTTATTAACAAATATATAATATTATTATCATTACAATAAAATATTTTCACTGTTAAAATAGTGCTCAATAGACCTACATTAATTGTAAACCAAACAATGTAACCTGTGTTTAACTCAAATACTTTCCATCACTAAAATCCCTAAGCACACTTCTTTAAACAAACATTCCGAAGTTGTTTTGAAAAATAGACATGAGAATAAGTTCTACTTGTGCAACTTCAATAGGGACGCAAACTGAAAATAGGTCAGTTGTCTAAAGACCGCATAAAATGAAACTGATTAACAATAACATGTTTTTCTTTTTAGGTTCTGTTTTAATTTTTCTATTATCATTATTCAGATTAACAGTTTATTACAACTATTTAATGGACCTGAAGTGATAGTTGTAGCTGGACATGAAAGATTTAAGGCTATGGTAGGCTTTATGTATACACCAGTACCACCATCAGCTAGAGGTGGTAGTGATCGTAATTCAGTCACCAGTAGAAGACGATTGAGACGAGACAGAATAGTTAAAACCAGTTAGTTTTATATTTGACTATTATCCAAATACATTCTGCTGTTTAGGCCTTAAACCATATGGTTTACTGCTTGTTAAATAATATCAAGATTATGTAGGAATACCACATTCACTCTCAGGACTGCTACTTAGTGAAATATTGACCATCATATAGATAAATTCACAAAAATTGATCTGTTAGATAGAACTTGTTTGATAATCTCAGACAAGTTCAAAGATGGGGTAGCTTTGACAATAGTTTTTGATTTATTGCCCTTGATGGAAAACTTCAAAATAAGTTTGTTAGAAGCTACATGTTCCAAATTATTTTATAAAAGCTTGGAATGATCATGTCGATTGATGAGATGTATATGTCAGTATTGATATCAAATTATGTCAGATGCTTAGCATGATAAAAGGTTTCATTTAAACAGTTCTCAGCCATGTACCTTTAAGTTCATAATTTGTATTGAGATCTATTGTGAATTTTCAGGGGGTAAATGGAGAGTAACTGTTACAACTGGTGATGATTCTAATGCTGCAACATCTGCCCAAGTCACTATTACCATATATGGTCAAAAGGGTAATTCTGGACCAATCAATCTAGGAAATTCAGGTGGAAATTATTTTGAGAGTGGCAGTGTTGATGATTTTGAGGTAAACAATTTATTTCATTCATCTCGTCATGTTTTTTACACCAGCAGTGATATTTCTATTAGATAAATGTCAGTCTTGAATCATTAAGAAACAGGTTCCCCATCTGTTTGACCAATCATACCATAATCTCAGAAACAATATCAGTAATAATCTTTCAATGGCATATTAGAAGCACAGGATATAGATAAATAAGACAATTGTATGGATTATCATCATATTCCTGATGATGGTGTGAGAACCACATTGAAATGTTGAAGTATCATACCTTTATTGTCTTATTTATCTATATCAGTAATAGTAATAGTGCTCACTGTCAAAATTTGAGCGATTTTGTTTGAGTGGTTTGAGTTATTTTTTGAAGAAATGAGATGTTTTCTAGTACTTCTGAAGACTATTTATATACACACGTATTCCAGACTCAAATCAACCCTCGAAAATGGTGAATCTCTCCATTTAAATCCTCTTACATCATTGATCTGAATCCTGAAAATTAGACTTTGAATTTTGATGTTATTTTGGAAAAGTTAGTCGTTCTAATTAATGAAAACTAGAGACAAAAATTGAGAGAAATGTGTTCCTTAACTTACCTGAAAGTTTTAACGTATCTTGCAGTTAATTCTTAGGTCTACAAAACTATTAAACGATATGGTTAATCTTTTGAAGTAGTTATGATTTAAGTTGGTGTGGAAAATATCATGTACACAATGCCAAATCGTAAAGAAATATGTCTGCTACTTATTTTGAAGGTTTCAAACGTTAAGTTTTAACGAAAATTTTGCATACTGTCTTTCAGGAACAAAATAGTTACAAATATTAATTTATTGTTATATCTATTAGTGTGAAACAAGGTCAAGGCCGTCTGTTTAGGACTAAATCATCAAAATTTCTGGGTTCAAATTAATATAATTTATGATATATTTTAATTAATTAATTAAGCCCCAACAGTCCTGCTAGAATAGCAGCGGAAATTAAGATTTATTGCATCGCAATGTACGAGTCAACAACATACTTTCACTATTAACTTTTTCCTATAATTAGTCAATTAATTTTCATCATGATGTTCCGCGAACCCAAACAAGTTGAGAACTTTTCATGACACTTTTCTACTAAATACGAACTGGAAACTACAACTAAACATTTTTTAATTGCTACGGAATTTTTATGAAATGTGAATCAAAAATTAAATTAATTGATCAAAACTGGAATTTAATGCTACTAATTGCTTATCTATGTAAATTGAACCTTGCAATATTTGTATTGATTTAAGTTGATTGTATTTGAATGTCTAAGTATAAAAGAAAATCAACTGTGTAAGATTATTATATATCAATTGAAATATTTGAACGAATAGGTATGAATTCAAGTATGTAAAAGTAATTAAATTCAATTTGAACAAGGAAATGGTATGTATTTATTATGAACATCATGTAAATCAAGTTAACATATATGTATGTATATTGAAGCCTGTGTGATTTAAACTTGTCTAGTTGTCAGGTAATAAAAATAATATCACTTGTTACTGGTGTTGACAAGGACAACCATTCTAATAGTCAAATAAAAAACACATTTTGAATGGGCAATATGTACTAGATTATTTTGGTTGACTTGCTTTGTGAACAATGGTGGACTTTCAATGAAATTATAGTTCTGTACTATTGTATTCATGTTTAGATACCAATACTATTACTAAACTGATAGTCTATACTTTATTTATTAGTAACACTAATGTCGATAACATACTGAGCATGGTTTTCAAAGTTAAAAACTATGTACCCATTAATTAATCTTAATTTATTAAAGATGATTTCCCTTATTTTCATTTATGAAAATGGAAATGCTAATTCTTATATGAATAGAAAGTAGAGGTGTTCTAATGACTTGGTAAAATACCAGTTTGTCTCACATGTACATTATTAATTCATAATTAGCTAAATCAGAAGAGAATTACCAGCAGAATTCCAATGAGGGACCGATCAAGAAAGATAAAAAACGTTTTTTTTTTGGTTATCCAGACTGTACATACATTTATTATTGGTTGAAATTATATGCAATAAAAACAAGGATATGATGAAGAATACATGATAATTCAAACACCAATTTAATCAACCAGTTTGCTTTATTTGACTCTAATAAAATAAGGAAACCCATCTTTAAATCTTGACAAATGTGGAGGTTTTAAAGCTTTGCCAAGTCACAATTCGGAAAATGAAAAGTATTTGATTTTGGGGAAGGTCATCTTCACAATGTCAAGCTATTTCAAAACTACTATATCTACTATATCTAATAGTATGACCTCATTGGCAACCTTTCTTGTTTTATGGAAGTTTGTAAGTGCAGCGATTTGATTGAATTGTGTGCCACCTAATACAGCCAATTCGAGCCTTTGACAGAAAGTCTGTAAACAATTAACTGCACGTCTAATCGAGGGCTATGATTACTTAGATCATAATAATTTCACATGATGAAGATTTGGGAAGGAAGGGTTTCATTCTTCCAATTGAACGGGGGGAAAAAATATCTCCCTAATGTGGTTACTTTGTTTTAAACTGATTGACTTTAGGTGTCTATGAACAAGGTTGTTTGAAGGAACATAACAAACATAGAACCCTCCTTAACACAATATATTCAGCAACAGTTCCAACAACTTACAGGTGTCACCGGTGCCCTGAAGTCAAATGTTTGGATTACTTTGGATATTTTAAACATTTAGAATATTAATGACATTTATAAATTTGAATTCACCAACTTCAATTCTATCTCATCTATATATATAGTTTATTGTTTCTTGACAAAATTAAACCCCAGGATATGGATTTTCATTTCAGATTTTTGCGCCCGGTATTGGTGAAATATATAAAATTCGTATTGGACATGATAGTACTGGTTCATATCCAGCATGGTACTGTCAAGAGGTAGGTTTTTGATTCCCTGAAATTAAATTGTTGAAAGACTTTTTATATGCCCACATTATAATTTGTTCCATAAAATAGCACAACACATGGGTAAACATTAAAAAAAAATAATCTGCTGTAGAAAAAATTAGGAGTTCTAAAGTCCAATTGTTTCAAAAGCACATACGTGTCTGTCCCTGAGGAAGGGGGCCTTTGTGCTCTTGAAGCACATTGGTTTTAGGACTACTTAGTTTTGTTATGTAGCAGAAAATATTTTTCGCGTGTTTACCCGCATTATAATGTGGTCGTATATTGTTGTCACCCCAGTCGGTTTATTGGTCCGTCAGTCCACCATGGGCTTGTGAACAGAATAGAGACTACAGTTTATATCTGATTTTAATGAAATTTTGTGTGATCCTTTATATTCATTAGATCTTGGTCAAGTATGAATTTTTTCGATGAACAAATTTTTGAGTTATTGCCCTTGAAATTGGAAAATTTGTTTGTGAACACAATAGAGACTACAGTTTTCATCCAATTTAAATGAAATTTAGTGTGATCATTAATCATGATGAGATCATGGTCATGTTCGAATTTGATGATCTTTAATTGAATGGTTTTTGAGTTATTGCCCTTGACTTTTGAAAAACCATAAAATGATCATCGAATTTGACCATTTTTCAATGAAAAGTTTTTGAGTTATTGCCCTTGACTTAGGAAAAATGCATCAAAATTTATTTATGCTAACAATAGAGACTACATTTTTCATCTGATTTTAATAAAATCTGGTGTGATATCTATTACAATGAGATCTTGGTCAAGTTTGAATTTGACGATTTTTCAATGAATGGAATTTGAGTTATTGCTCTTGACATAGTAAAAATACATCAAAATTTGTTGGCAGTTTATGTCAAAATTAAAAAATTTGTGTTTTTGATTAAAGATGGGTTCCCTTATTTTCATTTATGAAAATGAAAATGCTAATACTTATATGAATAGAAAGTAGAGGTGTTCTAATGACTTGAAAAAATTTCCAGCAGAATTCCAATGAGTGACCGATCAAGAAAGGTCAAGAAGTCTTTTGTTTTGTTTATCCAGACTGTACATACACGGACATTTATGATTGGTTAGACTCTTAATTTTATGCAATAAGAACATAATGATATGATTAAGAATACATGATAATTCATTAGAAACACCAATATACAAATAGTTTTCCTACTTTGACACTGAAAAACAAGGAAACCCATCTTTAAATCAACAGTATCTTGTACAATTTTATTTGAAGATAGACAAGTAGTTGATTACAACTTGAACCAATTTTATCTGTATCTTTTGTAATAATGAAGAAGTCAAGGTCACCCAATATGAAAAAAACACATGTCATTGACATAATCAAGCAAGCAAATAATGAGAATAGCTATGTCTGTTTTCTACAAAAATCAATATCACTGTCTGGGCTCTAAAACATAAATGAACAAAAACTCAAAATGTTTTGTTACATCGTTTATAAATAAACTATATTCCAAATGGATGCACAAATATACAGGTAGTTTTCTGTGGTCTCAAAGGAGACTCTAGGTCATCCAAATCTTCTGCATAAGTCAATACTCTGAGAATTCCCATATTGATACTTGAATATACTTGTAGGTAAGGTTAACAGATATAGATACTGGAGAAGAATTAGTATTTCCATGTAGAAAGTGGATGGATAATGAACAAGGTGATTTAGAGACTTGTCGTGAAATACCAGTTTCAAGGAAAGGAGAACCTAGACTTCAAGGTAAATGTTTATTGAGACTGTATTGATTTACTCATTGCCTTTTATGATTCTACAGCATTAAGATTGGCAATCCTGGAAACTTAGTATTAATATGACACAATATACTTTGACTCTGATTTATCCTTCTCAAAACTTGTTAGCTAAATAACTGAAAAATACCAAACTCATGTCTTAGGAAAGTGAAATAAAGTCAGAGAGGCTATCATTAGATGTCCTGTACTTTTAGTTATCCAAACTGGTTACATTTCATCTTTGTGGCTCTTTCTTCTTTATACGCCCACATGCAATGAGGCGGTATATATTGCTGTCACCCATGTCCTCTGTCTGTCTGTCCACAATTGCTTGTAAACACTCTAGGAGGTACAATTCTTGGCGAATTTTGATGAAACTTAGTGTGAGAATTTCAGAAGAACTGAAAAATAATTAGTATTAGTTATTGCCCTTGTTCTTCAATACGCATTCAATTTTTAGTTTGTAAACACCCCAGAAAGCACAATTCTTGATGGATTTTGACTAAACTTGGTGTAAGTGTTTGGTATCACCCAATGATAAATCCTAGTGAAAATCAGAAGAATCGAAAAATCCTTAGTATGAGTTATTGCCCTTGTTCTTGAAAACACGATCAGTTTGTAAGAGTTGAATATTTCATACTGAAAATTGTAACTGAGAAGCTGCCAGTGGGCGTATATTACCTTGCCTGGCAAGCTATCTTTGATTCTTTTTTGGGAACAATTATATCATCTAAACAAAACAGCAATACTGATTTAAAAGTTACTGCATCTCCAATTCAAATATTATAAAAACAAACAATGAATTGGTAAATTGGATGGTTATTTGATTAGGTGACCTGTATTCATATCACTGTCAGTAGTTTCATTCATCCCTAATTGATCTAATATTTTTTTAGGTCATAATGCATTGGATATAACAATGTTACATAATCCTTTTCAGTTGTGGTTTATGAAGCAACTGTTACTACAGGAGACCTTTGGAACTCTGGAACTGATGCCAATGTTTATATGACTATTTATGGTGATAGAGGCGATACTGGTGTTCGACAATTAATACCTCAAAAACAGAATAGTTTTAAACAGGGACAGGTACATTCTTCTGGTATTTTTTTTGGACAAAAGATCAAACATAACCCATTGACCACTGACTGGTAGAAAGATAATAGTCAAGTAACCTAATTTCGTGCTAACCTATTTTTTTGTGCATCTTCAGAAATGATTAATAATTTACATGCACGACCTCGAGTCACCTCTGCATTGTTTTGATAAACATGGGTTGTCTCTACAATGTCAGCTAGTAGAATGAATCCAGTTGTTCAAGCAAGGTAAAATGTATTAATGTATGCTTTGACATAAACAAAATGGCGGATATCAGTTAGTACAAAATATCACAATCTAATCGGAATTCCAAGTGTCGACTGCTAGAATATATTTGATGCATACATAAAGAAAATCGAAACAAACCAAATTTAATTTTTTTCTAGAATATCTGAGGAAACATTTAAGACATAATAAAGATCTTTCTCTTTTTTAATTTTGACGAAATTCGGTGTTGAATCCATACAGATATACGTTACGCCAATGTACATGTAATTGACAACTCACTGGTTAGAGAAAGATTATATATTGCACTTACACGTACTTGTCCAGTTTGACTACTGATAGAATTCTATTGCTGGTGTCCGTATCAATCTTAGAATAATATGTGAATGATAAATAATAGAACCCTGAATTTATGATATAAAGGTATCTTTATGTTTCATTACAGAGTGATACATTTCAAATAGAAGCTGTACAACTAGGAAGATTAAAAAGAATTATAATAGGGCATGATGGTACCGGACCAGGTAAATAATAACATAATGGTGTAGAACTGAAAACTGAATATCACTGAATTTGTGTACACATAGTTGATCAGTAAATAATATTTTAGTTTTTCCAGTTTCAAACAAACATTACTCATTTGTTTCTATAAGTTGAAATGTTGCTATCATGTTCTGAAATACAATATTTTAGGAAATGGATGGAATTTAGAAAGAATACTTGTTAAAGACCCAATAAAAGATGAAGTTTTTAATTTCTATTGTTCCAGGTATGAACAATTACTTTTATTCTTGCCATTTTTAACTTATAAAATCTTAAATAAAAACTTGATGTTGCAAGTAACTTCAGAGAAAATGACTAGAAATGGTATCTATGTGGATAAGAGAAATTAAATTAATCACTTGACATATCCTACTTAGAAAATATTACAATTCAAAGCTTTCCATGTACTTATTAATGTGTGACTTTAGACAGATATATGTGTGACCTTAGCCAGCCAAGTATATGTGTGACTAATTATAAAAAAAATGTTGTAGATGGTTAGATGAAGGTGAAGATGATGGTAAAATAGTACGTGAAATACAAGCACAAGAGGAGTATATGGGTGATATTCTAGAAAAACGTAATGTAAGTCTTAGTTTAACCAAACCCCTCTCGAAATTAAAAATCTTATGGAAGTGACAATGAGTTATAACTGGATTGAAAGATCTATCTGGAAATCACTAGTTAAAGGGATTGTAAAAATTTTGTATGAGTACCAGGACACTGATCACATCAATTTACACCATTACAATTTTCAATCAGACGTCTGTGGTTCTTGCAATTCCACTTAAACTAAGTGATTGATATTTTGCAATTAGTGACGTCATCAAACACTTGGTTTAAGTGGAATTGCAGGCGCCACTGATATCTGATTGATAATTGGATTTGTGCAAATTGATGGTATCAGTCGCCCCAATACACATAAAAAATTCTAGAAAACCTCTTTTATAGTCCCTTTATAAGAAGGTGTGGCACTGCAAAGAGATTAGACTATTTGTTAATCATTAATCAGTTATTTTTGTGGTGTTAAAGAAATTAACTAAATATAATGAAAACCATGGGACTGATGTAGAATTCTTCATTGAGTAAAGAATATTAATTATTTCATTTATGATATGTTTTTTCAGTGGGAATCTTTAAAATGGAAATTTGAAAATAAGAATCAAGTAAAGATAATATCAGAACTGACTGGGCAATGTTTACGTATAAAGGAGATG